AAAAAAGAACTTGAAAGTAAAAAAATAATGGGACTGTAGGTATCAAGATGGTTGAAAAAACAAATTAAAATTCACACAATTTTATAATCACTTTAATTAAATAAATTTATATACAATATAGGTACATCATAGTACATTCATCGTAATAACTGTACAACATTAGCAATCTGACGTTTCACATTAGTTTTTGTTGTGTACTCAATACTGCTCACAAAAATATATCGTGTCACAAACAAATAAACTTGTGTTTACTCCGTTATGTAGGCTCGAAATGTAAGGATTTCACAATCTGTCGGTCCATAAAATAGTCATAGGAGTTAAAGGTAAAAGGGTGATCGACGCTACATATTAATTTAATGTGTCTTGCTGACGATTTTTTTTTTGTTTTTCATTAGGATTTAAAATATTTAAGATTAGATCTAGATTTTTTTTTCACTATTTTTTATTTTTATAATTCATTTGTTGCTTAGGTACGACGATCTGGGATTAGCCGCTCACTTTTACATACTTCGATGAAAGAGATACACGTAACGAATAACATTATCGGATGAAAAATTAAAATCAACGATTGGCCGAATAACATTACGAGAAGGTTAATAGTCATCAGAGAGGCCGGGGCGATTTTGTCTTTTATTACTTTTCTTTTTCCTGTGGGGTGCTCGCTTTGGGGGGTAACATCGCATACCAGCGAGCCCGTCTTGTCTGTTTAGATTTATTTATTTTAGTTAGTTCTTTATTTTTTTCTCCATAATTTCTTGTCTCAACGCTCGGTTTCCTTTAAAAAAATATACGATTTTTCGTTGGTCAAAGGTACACGATCGTCGCTCGCTTAAATTTACTAGTAGTGTACTCGAATAACGTTTATCTTTACTTACTTTTGCGTATTCGAGTTTGCTCCTTGCCTATACATATATATTTATGCGTATGTATGTATGTATGTATGTATGTACAAACACAAGCTCATAATATAATATTACGATGGATTAGTGTAGCGTACAAGTTACAAATATTTTATATTTCATCTGAGCCTCATCAATTGTTAGAAATATCGTCAATAACCGGAGAATGCATACTGAAGAAGAACTGAGTCTTTAAGTGTAAAATCTCATTGTGTTTGCTAATGCATTTGTATTGATATGTATAATTTTGACATAAAGAAAAATATTTTTTTTTCCACTTTACAAAAATTGAGACGTAGCCATTTGATTGAATCCAAAAAGACAAGCTTCATGTAAAGCAAAACAAAATATTGACATTATATTTCTAAAGTTCTCCACTTACTTACAACTATAGTAATTCAAAAACACTTTCACCATATTCATATTAAAGGTAACCCTGTAGAAATGCGTTTAGGCCACTTTCCATGCAACTTTTAAATTCTTACATATTAATATAAATTTCAAAGAATCAGTAATCTCACGAGAATCTATTGTTCATCCGGAAGTTAAATAGTCTTATGCCGAACACTCATCGATAAATATGTTAATATGTGGTTATTCGATTGAAATATTAGATTACACTATTTTGGAAATAAAATTCTTATAGAATCCGCCCCGGACTCATTGGACTACTTTTTTTATTTTTATTTTTAAATTGTATCTGGATTTAAGTATATGTATAAGACGATTTACTGTTACAATGGGCACTTTAAGTACCATCGATATACAGACGAGATTGATAAAATTTTAATATCCATATAATTCATATAATTACTTTACTGGTTTTTTTTTTTTTTTTTTTTTTTTTTTAATAACACTTAATTCGGTAGAGTTTTGCGCTTACATACGTACGAACATAAGTTTATTTTCATCTTCCACAATAGATTTTTTTCATTGATTTGGTAAACTTTTAGTTTTACATAATTTTTTTTACGTTTTCTCTGTTTACTTACACAAAACTACACGATAAAGAACTTGTAATACGATCCTCAGACATAACCTCAAACTTTCATTTTTTTTTCTTCTTCATTCTTATAATTTTATAAATTATCATAATAATAGTTTCGAATTCAATTCCTGATTAAATTTCGTAATCATCAGTCTTTCTCGTTTTTTGCAGTCACAAAGACTAATTTTTGCTGGTCGGTAATTTTTACCGGCAAATTTTGACTCCAGATAATACCTATACACCCTTAGTCGACACTCGGAATCGTATTGCGAGTATATTGAGATATACATCACGAATTTTTTGTTTCCATACTAAAAATACAAAAGTGTCAATAAAAATTCAACAACACACCGCTTTACATGTTATACATTTATAGACGTAGCTTTTATTATAACTCCATCTCTTACCCACACTTTGGAAGTAACTGCAATAATTTTAAACATGCGTACAATAAATATTATATAACTTTTACACAATGAACATTCTCTCGATCCGTTTATCGATTTAACAATACGTTTATTTACACTTTTCTACTACATATTTCGGTAAATAGATGAGGTAAGTATATTGTAAGGACGGGGTGTTGACGCGATCCTCGGCATAACTTCCTTTCGCCTTTTTTTTTCTTTTAATCATCAAAATTTATTTCATCGCTATTGGTATATATGCATAGTTATCGCAATCTCACATTACGTACGAAGATCGCTTGTATTATTTTCTTTCGTGAGGTGCGTAAATCGGACCACTGCGCGAATGGACTTTTCCACTTATGAATGTACACACATTACATCGTATGAGGGTATATCGCATTCGCATAAAGCTCATTCATCAGATGGCGCGACCAAGTCTTAGAGAAAATGGCGTCGTTCACTGTGTAACAGTATACCTGTACATACGAGTCACCTATATATAGAATATGTATACAGGCACACAAGCTGGAGTTGTATATATAAGTATACTGTTACACGTGAACGACGCCATTTTCACTAAGGTACGGTCGCGCCATCTACTTTGTGATATACCCTCATATACGCACGTCGCGGAGCACGAACACACGAGATCGATCGGATGGGATCGTCTATTTTTTTTCTTTTCTTTTTTTTTTTTTTAGTTATAGTACACTTACATGCGCATCCGACTATTATTTTTTATGTATTTTTAATAATTCGGGGGAACACGGAAAGAATTCACGCAGCTATCGAATTTCGCGAATATATTACATATATATATTTGTATATTTGATTGCCCGACAATTTTTTTTAATTTTTTTATTATATGCATTATACATTGTAAATATATATATGTAACGCATTAGGGACTTATTTTGAGCTCATCGAATGAAAAAGATTGATTGATTGAAAACAATTGCTTGGATTAATTCAATGGATTATCGAGTTGATTCTCGTTGGGTTGCAATCAAAGATCGACAGTCATTTATTCTAATTTTTTTGGTCGACTGCTCATATGTGATTACTTGTTGGTTTAAAAATTGGATGTGGCATTTAAGTAATCTTTGTATGTAACAGGATCAATTACTTCATAAGTTTTTGAACACATTGAAAAAATTTTTTTCCGAAAATGTAACATATTATTTTTTATGGACAATTTTTTTTTGTTTCTACTTTGATACAATACTTGTCAAAGATTTTTCTAATAGAAGATAGTGTATCATGTTCTTAGAGAATAAAATTTATTATAAAGAATAAAAATAAACATTTAAGTACTTTTTTTTTTTTTACAAAATGTGATAAATTATATTTGCTAGAAACATTTTTTTTCAGGGACTGTATTATTAGCAGTAATAGAAGAAAACTTTCTAGCACAAAAAATGCAACATATTTAAAAATAAATTTTTTGAGTAAAGTATCCGTGTCTAAGTTTGAACGAGAGTAATACTTAAAAGTTAACGATTACGCATTAAAAGTGATAATTGATTAAATTGGTCCAAGCGAGCGGTGTCGTATTGATTGGCATGTGTGTATTATTTTTTGTTTTTTAAAAATCGTTTAAAAAACTTATTTATCAATCACATATGTGCTGAGACGAGAAATGATATTTCAGGTCGAAGTGCAAAAATGATCTTGTTAATTTGTACGACATTGTTCGCTTTGGCCATATTGTACATAACTCGATAAAGGATTTCGAAAAATAACAATCATTCAATTAAATCTTTGGTTTCAAAAAATCAATTTTTTTTTCTTGCTACTAGTTTTAACATCTTACGTTTTACGTTAAATAATGCATTTATTTAACTAATACTTTGCATACTACTTTTCGAATTTCTAATAATTAAGTTGATTGCTCTCACTATAAAGTCAAAAACGAATTCAATAGTAACATTA